GGGGGGGGGGGGATGGGGTTTCACAATTTGGCCGACACAAAGAGCTGGGTTTAGCCGCTCTCCCTGCCCTCAGAAATCTCAGGGTGGGTTATTTATTATTTTTAAATAATGCTTAATTGGGACATTTTCCTATGCGGGGACGGGAAGAGCATCACAGAGACTAAAGCAGCTCCCCTGCTCCCTGCCTGGGATCTCACCCAGGGGCTAATTGCTTGCCTGGATGCCCAGGGAGAACAAGGGTCCTTTATTAGGAGGGGCTAAGGGGGGGGGGAAATATAATCATAATCATAATCAGAGAAATGGGATGAAGGAGGGGGAAGGATTTGTGAGCTGGCTGGTAGTTTATGTGCCCCCCCTCCCCCATCATTCTTCTAGCAGACTCTCAGGACTGGGAGGTCTAAGAGCTGAGCCTTGCACTGGTAAATCTGCTTGCGTGTGTGTGTGTGTAACTCGGGAGAAGCGTGGGGTTTTCTTGAGGGGGGCTGTTGTCTGATGGGGGCAAAGTCCGGGCTCTTCCTTGCCAAAAAACCCCCACCCCAAATCCCCACCGTCGGGTTCATTATAACGCCCGGGCGATCCGGACCTGGTTGGGGAATGAACTGTCCTCACTTGCCATCAGATCCGAAGCAGCAGCTCGCATTTTGCACAGATCGTGGGACTGCCAAGGTTTAACCCATTGTCTATTTGTTTGCAAGGTGCCTCTCTAGATCTCCTCTCTGCTGGGCTCTGTCCCCCCCACCGCCCCCGTTTTCAGCCCAGATGGACTGGAAAACATGAATTTAATAATGGATGTCTCCAAAACGTTTTATGCTCTCGCTTTGTGTATGAATCCAAACTAATAATACTTAATCTTTTGTGCTCAACAAACTGGGAAGGTTTAAAGGGGACTCGCCGTGATTATATTATGATATGATGTTATTAATGTTTAATACTTCAGTAATAAATATTTCAGCAACAATGTGGCTTGTGGAACAAAGGACAAGGGGGGGTCTAATGGTCCAGGGCTGATTTGTGTGGATGTGTAAAACACAATAAGTGCAACCCAGTTTATAAAACGTAAACACGATTCAAGATGGATGGATTATAATTAAACAGATGAAATAGAGAAATAGCAAATTACTTGGGGAGAGATTGATGGGGAACGATGTTTATATGGTAGGCTCCCCCCTCCCCCCCTTTCCTTTTAGAGAGCAAAGTTCCCTGCTTTAAATTCTGGCAAATGAGAAATTTCAGCGTTTGATTTTATTTGATTTTATTTATTTTTTTTTAATAATGGGGAGGTACAACAAGGGATCCCACGGATCCCTTCCCGGGCCAAAAAAAAAGAGAGGATAACTCTCAAGGCAAAGTCTTTTAGTGTCCCTGGCATAAGAAATCTCCAGGACAAAGTTGCAAGAGGAATTTATTTCCATCTGCAATCATCTGGGCTGCTCAGTCTCCCAACTCCGCTGGGTTTGGATGAGCCCAAACTGGAACCGCTATCCAGGGTTTCCAAAACTGCCCGTGTCCTGCCGTGGGATGGTGGCATCTTGGGTCGGATCAGTTCGGTCACGATGAATATTCCCGCATGAAACCGTCCCAAAGAGACCCAAAATGCCCCAGTTGGAAGTACCACCGTCAGCACACACCCAGCCCCAAGTATATGCCTCGCACTCGGATGAAATCAATTAGATGTGTTCGCCGTAGATACTCGAAGAGCTGCAGGCTACATTTTAATTTTTTTTAAATAGATATCTGTATTTTTAAAAATAGCCATTTTGCTAAGGGACCTTCTCAGCCTTCCAGGGGGGTATTTTTTTTATAGTGTATTAATCCCCATCCCCCTCTCCATCAAAAGAAAGAAAAATACTGGAAATGCAGCAAACCAAATCCGGAAAGTAGCATTACAAGGGGCATATGTGGAGCTGGCGCTTTATTCAACGTTATGTTTTCTACTGGGAACGCTTCGCGGTGGATAAGGGGCATTAATTCCCAGAAATCCTTACCTAAAGTTAAAAAGAAGAGAGAGAGAGAGTCGAAGTCCAAGTTCAAGGCAAAATAGACAAACCGGTTCCCCGTGAATGTCTAGACAGACAAGGATGAACTTCACAGATAGCGTCTCAGGGACGTGCGGAGCTCATGGGTAGCTCCTAGCCCCAGCGAAGGATGCTTGGACTCTCCAGGCAAGAAATCGGACCATGCAACACCTTAACCACAAGGAAAATCTACCGGTGATTAAAACAAATGAAAGATTTAACACAGAGAGAGGATTTCCTTTGGGCTAGCCACTTGAGTGACTTCATTTCAGGCAGAAATCGCCAGGAGACACCCTTCCCTAGTAATGCCCCGGGTAGCTAGTGGGCTGCATATACGAGGCAGACTTAGGCATCTATTCTTTTCCCTTACTTGGCCCGTTGTTACCTATCCTGAACAAAAGATCCTGTAAGCTTTCTATAATTTTTTTAATTTATTTTGAATCCGATTCCGCTGCTTGATTTTATGCCGTGGCTACGAGCAAAAGAGGATCTCCATGTTAAAAAGTTAAAGATTTATGTAAAGCCTAATAGAGGCGTAACCCATCATGTGTAACTGAGGGAGACTGCAGAATTGGTATCAAACCACCACGAAAAATAGACCCCTGTTTTTTAAATATTGAGGATATTAGGGTGTACTTCGTCCAGAAAGCAAGGAGAGTAATAAATAAAAATAATACTATGATCTCTTCCCCCCCGCAGCCCCCAGGTTTATGTAAGGGCATTTGCCATTCCGATTGCAATGAAATATAGATTTAATTAAACTTTGCATTTTACAGTTCCATTTATTATTGCATGTTGCAGACGGGAAATTAAGACCACCCGGTTGGAAGGCGCTCAAAAAAAAAATCTGCTTCGTAGGAACAGGGAAGGTGACATACACGTTAAAATGTGACTGCAAAAGCAACCAGGAAAGGACAAGTCCCAATTTAACTGTGAAGGATGCGAAAATCCCGTCGATTTCCCTCTGAACCCCCTGTTCGCCCTGTTATCTGCCTCGCCTGAGCCTCCCAACTGCATTTCATTTCATAAATGGCTCGGTAGTATCTCATTGAAACGGGCTGATTTTCCTAAGATAGCAAGCTGGGGATTGATAGCAGAAGTCAATTCTAGTGGGTTAATTAACTGAAACCAGCTCAGGGATCTTTACACCTAAAAATAAAATAAAATATATGGAACTGCGTCAAGTGAAGGCGACCATAAATAAAAATCACCCGAAGAAAGTGAGCAATTAGAAATAATAACACATGTATTTCGCCCGGAATTCATTGGTCTGGGCTTGCTTGTAACCGTAGAAAATATTTGATTGCGAGAATTATGTGCGTGTGTGTGTATAAATGTGTGTGTATATCTATATATATTTATATATAGATAAATAGATAGATTTATATATATATATATATATATATCTCCATATATATCTATATATATGTGTGTGTCTGTGTATGTATATATACATATATATGTATATATGCATATATATACACACATACATACGTACATATACACACGCATATACACACACATATATATACACACATTGCTGCTGTTATATTTTTACTGAAGTATTAAACATTAACAACATCATATCATTATATAGATGTATATAGATATATAGAGAGAAATATATCTATATATGTCTAAAGATGGCTGTAGATATATCTATCTATATATATCTCTATATAATGATATGATGTTATTCATGTTTAATACTTTATTAATGTTTAATACTTTATAGCTATATATCTATATACATATTTATCGATATAGATATAGATATAGATAGAAAGCGACTGTGGCTTTTTCAGATTTTTTTGCAGAATGTTATCCTCAGGAAAAGGAGAAAAAACATGTTGCATTAAAAATGGACTTGGAAACTTATCACTTTAATTAATAATATCGCCTGCTTCATTGGGATCCCCTATTCTTAACCTGGATATTGCTCAAGTGAGGGAGAAGCGGCGGATGCTTCAGTGATTGGTAACAACGTGGATTCTTGGGATTAGACCTCCACTTTTTAATAAGTTCTGGCCAGGGGAGTTTGCTTCCTTATTTGTTCCTATTTCTCCAATAGAAGAGAAGACCGAAGAGAGATGAATTTCCCGAGCCATGAGGACAGGCGACACAGAGCTGTTTTGCAAAGACTCTACGTGCCAGCCAACTCCGAAAATGTAGCATATATTTCCCCCCGCCCTTGAAATGTGCTTCATTAGCTAAAAAAAAAGAAGCTATGCCAGGGTGCAGGTGATCGCTACAGACTCCAGACCAGTTTCGGTGCAATGACTTGTGAAGGCAAAACTTTCCACAAGGCAGATTGCAGCGGGGCCGGTGTGCTTTTTGCAACAGGGAGCTGTAGCCCTGAAAATCCGGGTAGATTTTCAGGCACCTAAAAAAGGCCCACAGAAATCGTAGGGTCAACTTGCCTCTCGCTTGCTTCTTCAGGCAAAGCAACCCAGGGCTGAAATGAAATGTCTCAACAGCTGATCAAATCATTCCTCCTGATCCCTGCCTCCTAGGGAAGGATTCCGGGTGTGGGGAAGAGGAAAGATGCTTTATTTGAATTGCTGGAGAGGAAGAGGCTGAGGAAAAAAACCCCAAAAAACACTTTAGCCTAAATCTGCTCTGTGCACATCTTGTGTTGCTATCCGAGCGATGGGGAAAGTCCCCCCCACTGCATCGCTGATGATAGCTGGGGAGACTGATTCCCTTTGAGTTTTGGGAGTCTGACTCAAATATACGACAACCCTATTCCTTCTATTAAAAGGAAATCAGTTGGATTTTCC